GCCTCTGTAGCCACCAAAAACCAATCGGGACCCTGTTCCGGCACCCTGCCGGAGGGGGATCCCATCACCGGAGGCCATCTTCATCATCCCGGCGCTATCCATGACGAGGAGGGAGTAGTTCACCCTCGGGGCTGAGGGTATGTACCAGTAGCTATGTGTTTGATCTCTCTCTCTATTGTGTTCTCTCTCGTGTTCCTCTATGGCACGATCTTGATGTATCCCGAGCTTTGCTATTGTAGTTGGATCTTATGATGCTTCTCCCCCTCTACTCTCTTGTGATGAATTGAGTTTCCCCTTTTGAAGTTATCTTATCAGATTGAGTCTTTTATGAACACTTGATGTATGTCTTGCGTGGGATAACCGTGGTGACAATGGGTTATTCTATTGATCCACTTGATGTATGTTTTGGTGATCAACTTGCGGGTTTCGTTGACAATTGGGAACCTATGCATAGGGGTTGGCACACGTTCTTGACTCTCCGGTAGAGACTTTGGGCAATCTTTGAAGTACTTTTATGTTGGTTGGATGAATCTGAGATTGTGTGATGCATATCGTATAATCATGCCCACGGATACTTGAGGTGACAATGGAGTATCTAGGTGACATTAGGGTTTTGGTTGATTTGTGTCTTAAGGTGTTATTCTAGTACGAACTCTTTTATAGATCGATCCGAAAGAATAACTTTGTGGTGGTTTCGTACCCGACCATAATCTCTACGTTTGTTCTCCGCTATTAGTGTCTTTGGAGTGACTCTTTGTTGCATGTTGAGGGCTTGTCATATGTTCTATCTATGTTATTATTGTTGAGAGAACTTACACTAGTGAAAGTATGAACCCTAGGCCTTGTTTCCTATCATTGCAATACCGTTTACGCTCACTTTTACCGCTCGCTACCTTTCTGTTTTTATTATTTCAGATTACAAAAACCTATATCTACTATCTATTTTGCACTTGTATCTTCATCTCTTCGCCGAACTAGTGCACCTATACAATTTACCATTGTACTGGGTGTGTTGGGGACACAAGAGACTTTTTGTTATTTGGTTGCAGGGTTGTTTGAGAGAGACCATCTTCATCCTATGCCTCCTACGGATTGATAAACCTTAGGTCATCCACTTGAGGGAAATTTGCTACTGTCCTACAAACCTGTGCACTTGCAGGCCCAACAACGTCTACAAGAAGAAGGTTGTGTAGTAGACATCATCCACCTTACTACTGAACTGGTTCACCGAAATGAGTTTCATATACTAGTACATGCTAAACTTGTTATGTGTCTTCTTGTTTCTTCTTTTAGAATGCTGACAGAATATTGGGGAAGAGTGCCTTATTAAGCAATGGTAAAGGAAGTAATGCAGATAAGGTTTAGGATAGTGACACATCCTTGTTGGTCTCCAACAAAGCTGATAAAACAGCTAAGGAAGACTATCTTGAAGACAGCGAGACAACCCCAAAGTCCTGTCTTGGTTTAGTGTTCGAGTTACTGGCCACTACCGCTTGCACAAACTATTCAAACTCACTATTTGAATCAGTTCGATTTCTTGAGTCTCAACTACAAGCTGAAAGACATCGATCAGCTGTGCTGCGACAAGAAGCGGAAAGACTGCGGAAGTCCCTGGAGCATTCAGATGCATACTTTCTAGTGCAACAGCAAGCGTTGGAGGATTTTAGCGCCAAACAGGACAAAGCTAATCAGCTTGCTAAGCTTATTGCCAGCATGGTGTATACCCAGGATAACGTTTCTTGAGCTCTTCTGAAGTTGTTTCAGTTATGCTCTTATTTTGCTACCGCGTTTATTTGCACTGGTGGCCAATTTTGACGGCCAATGTATGTAATGTGCTGCTTTGTTCCCCTATATTTGCACTGGTGGCGAACTTTGATGCCCAGTGGATGTAATATGTGTAATAGGGGTAATAGGCTAGCATTAATTGCTTGCTTATTTATTTCCTTATTGTCTTGTTTAGTTGTTTGCTTGTAGTCACTGCTGTTCTTTTTCTGTTTTTTTCTAGTGGCCACAATAGCCTATTTTTGGTAACTAGGCCAAAATAATCATGGCAACACACGTACTGTTGTAACCATGGGCCTCCTGCAGGCCGTATGATCCATGGGCCTTCGTCCGACCGTAGGATCCATGGGCCTTCTATACGGGCCATAGGGTCCATGGGCCTTCTATGGGCCGTAGGGTCCATGGGCCTTCTACGGGCCGTACGATCCATGGTCCTTCTACGGGCCGTACTATCCATGGGCCTCATACGAGCCGTAGGATCCATGGGCCTTCTACGGGGCGTATCATCATTTCGCCAATCATGGGCCGTACTATTCGTGGACCATAACGGGCCGTTAATAGGCCGTATTTGATAACTCTATGAAAACAGCCCAACGGGTTTTTTACATGAAAACGACCCAATGTATTAACGGTCCGCAAACGGGCTGACTGTAACGACGAGCTGAATTTGGCCCACAAGCAGAAAATGATAGTAACGGGCCGTATGTAACCGAATGCTGCAAATGAGCCCAAGAATCAATGGGCCCTGAGAAGGCCAAAAGATAACTTGGGCTGGAAACAGCCCAATGGAATAATGGGTCGTTAATGGGTATAAAGTGATACACTGTTCATTACGGGCCAGTTTCACCACAGGCCGTTAATGGGCCAAGAGTTACAAATGTCCTCATATGGGCCGAAAGAAGTCATGGGCCACACATGGGCCAGAAGTTAAAACGGGTTGAATGATATTGGACGGCCCAGATGACGCTACTGGGCCTAATTCGGATAGGGTGTAACGGTCCCTAGGTTAGCGGGCTGTAAATAGGCTATATGCGAACAGGCCGTTAACAGGCTTTCCGTGGGCCGGCCCGCCACCTTTTGACCAAGTCAAACGGGCCGACCTTTTAACAGGAATGGGCCTCTGTTGGGCCGTGACACGTGTCGCCGTATCATAGCCGCCTTTGGTCCAATGAGTGGATGACATCTGTCCCAAAGGTGAGCCGACACATGTTTTCTCCAGCCAATGATGATTTTACACGTGGAAAATCCCCATTGGTCGGGGCTGTTAACGGGTTATCAGATCTAAAACCCGACCCGATAGCTTAACGATGTTCCGTTATGGTGGATGTCACGTGTCGGTCACCCTTGACGAAAGCACTTCTGTGACGCGCAATTTATCGTCATGGAAGTGGACACTTCCGTGATGATAATTTTGGTAATGTCATGGAACACTTCTACGACATCACAGGTATGACTATTTTGATTCTGTCATAAAATCGTCATGGATGTACATGCATGACAAAAAACGCGACCTATTGTGACAAACACGTATCATCACGGAAGTGTATTTTTTTGTAGTGTAGATGTGATAGAATCTATGAAGTGAAGATGACAGCAAACGAGTAATCGTGCTTTAATTTGCAAGCTATATAACATTGGACTAGCTTTATCCAACTGTTAATATTCAAAATTATTTGTATACTATTGGTGTATTTATAGAGTAGCATCTTATCACTATGGTCTCCAGAGTCCCATGTTTCACATCCTTGGCAATTGTCATTGATCGTTTAGTTATGCAGAATAAAAAATCTCTAGCACAGCCTACACCCACTTCGTTCACGGACGGTTGGCTGGGCGGAGGCCCTCCAACAGTATCCCTTATTTTTGGCTGTGGATTGTGACTGAGGAGAAAGAGTCGAGCGAGAAGATGTGTGCTATGGGAAGGTGTGGCTCGACCGATAGCGGGTCGGGCGGATTGTCCAGACTCCCTTATTCTTCCCCTCAATTTGTGGATAGAGTTGTGCATTTCAGACGTCCAGTCCAATCCGCGGACAAATGAGGACACATTTTTCTTCAACTGAAATGAGAGATAGCAATAAAGGTCTAAAAGTGTTCGAATCGTTCTATTCACACATATAGCAAAGAAAATAAGGGTCCGCGTTGGAGATGCTTTAATATACTTTATCTCTACTTTTCAGCTATGCTCTTTGGCGAGATAATATTGAGCTCTGAGAATTTGAGCACGCAAAAAATAATCCAAATTCGAGACTAACATGAGATTGTCAAATTCAAAAGTGCACCTTAAAAAAAACCAAATTCACACATTAAACCCACTACAGAGAAAGAAAGGGCCCGCGCTGGGCTATGCCAAGTGGCGCCCGCTGGTTGGCTATGAGCGAAACATTTTCTTTTTCTTTGTTTAAATAGAGGCGAGGGTTCTTTTCGAGAAAGAAAGGAACAACGCTGGGCTATGCCAAGTGGCGCCCGCTGGTTGGTGCAGTGGGAACTTTTTATTTTTCTTTTCTCTTTTCTATGGAGTTGAGGTTTTTTCCTGAGATATTTTTTCTTTTTTTAAAGATGAGCATGCGACTTCTTTTTCTGAGATGGAGGTGAAGACCCATGTGCTTTTTTAAGATGAAAACAAGCGTACAATTTGCCACATGTCACTTGCTGGTTGGCTAAGTGAGGAAGTTTTTTTAAGATGAATGTGAGGTTTTTTCTCCTTTTGTCTCAAGATGGAGGTGAAGGCCCATGTTCTTTTTTTTGAAATGGAAACATAGGCACAACTTGCTCTCACGTTGAGCTATTTCGAAATAAATAAAATAAAGAAAAAGCTCGAACGAAGCTCACACCGGAAAAGGTTCGTGCCTTTTGGCTTCCTTTTTTTTTTGAACATGCCTTTTGGCTTCGTTGGTGTATAACAGTGTGTGCAAAATCTCACGTGATGCGGCCGTATTGTGAACCCACATGTCAGCGAGACAAGCCTTACAAAGAGCAGACCTGCCAGGTGGGCCTCCTCGCTCGCCCACCGTCCACGTGACCCCCGTTCCCGTTCCCGTTCCCGTTCCCGGTTACCTTTCCATCGGGCTATTTTCTTTTCCATTTTCGTTTCTGTTTTTACCATTTATTATTAATTCTCTCTACGATCTCGTCCTCTTCCCCTCCCCCTTCCGTTTGGTTTGATCCCCGGCATTCAATTGCGCGCGAGGCGTAGCCCGTGCTCCGATCGCGCGGCGCGTATGGCGCTCCCCGGCGGCCCCGCCACGCCGACGCCGGAGCCGGAGCCGCTCAGGCTGGCGGAGGAGGAGGTGCGGGAGGCGGAGCTGTTCGAGGATGCGGTGGACGTGTCGCCGACCGCCTCCGCGCACCCGGTGACATGGCGCGAGGGCGAGGCCGCACCGTCGTCGTCGTCGCCGTCGATGTCGGTGTCGATACCGCACCGCCACGAGGCGGGGGCCGCGGACGAGGAGGAGGAAGCGTACGAGTCACCTCCGGCGTCGGGCGCGTCGGGGCATACGGGGATTGACGGCGCGGGGTGGTCGCCTTCGGTTTCCGAATCGCGAGAGGGCAGCGCCTCGCCGTTGGGGCAGCGCGCGAGGGGCGCGGAGCAGCAGGAGGGGAATTGGGTGGCCCCGTCGGGGGCAGCAGGCTCGCCAGGGATGGAGGACTCGAGGTCCAGGTCCTCGTCGGCACCGCCTTCGCCCAGGCCCCCGTCGTCGCCTGCGCCGCAGATCAGGCCGCACGCGAGGCACGTGCGGACCAGCAGCTTCCAGCGGTTCCGGCAGCAGATGCAGCGCGCGTGGAAGTGGGGGCCCGTCGGAGGTGGAGGAGACGCCGAGAGGAGCCCCAGGGAGCAGTTGCTGCGCACTACCGTGAACATTGAGGCTATGGCGAACCAGAAGCGGCAGTGGTATCAAGTCCACGCCAAGGTGCGGGTACGCTGACTGCTGTTTTGTTCAATCCTGCTCATCATATACTTGTGCGTTCGTTCGGATGCAACTTTTGTGTAGCCGGGTGATCTTCATACATAAATGATAGCTTAAGTGGTAAATCAATGCAACTAGCTCGACAGTCTTCGCGTACTTAGAAATGGGCAGGTTCACACTGTAAGAAGATGTGAAATAGCAGCTGACAGATGGAGTTCTAACACTTCCTTTTCATATTTTCACTGTTTGTTATATACGGTTCAGCAACAGTCACTAGTCAGGTTGGTAAGCAGATGATCGAATTACTATACCGTACTTTATTGTTTGGGGCCGCATTGGAGAAATTTTGCATACTCTTAGCAAGGCAGTTGATGCGTGACTATGCTTTTCATTCTCTTGGGACATTTGGCATACCATGAACAGACTATCTTTGAGGTATTTGAGTGTGTGATTGCGGAGCAGCCAAAGTGAAGTTATCTCTTACTGCTTGGATTTAATTGCTAAATATGCCCAAGTATGTTTTCTTGAGAGCATATGTCCAACTACAAGAGTGCTTTCCTGGTAGTGTGTGGAATTTCTCCCGCACTTTTAAGTTTATAGAGAGGGCTTTGAGACTTAGCTACATTCACCTGCTCCTTTAGTTTCTCTTGCAGTTTTTATCTGTACTTACCATGAACTTTCCCCTTTAAAAGCTATTTTTACGTCTCTTGCAGGATCAGAATCAATTGAAGGAACCATCATCACTCTTTGAACATTTTTTCGTAGTTGGACTCCATTCTTATGCAAATGTTGCAGTAGTTGAGGATGCTTTTGCAAAAAAGAAAGCTTGGGAGTCTAATGTAGCATGCTCAGAGGTTGTTGATCTTAGTAAAATTCAGTACCATGGACCAATACCAACCATGGAACCACAGGTAGGGTGCTTTGTTGACTACTAGGTGTTCTTCTGCTTTAGGGAAAATTCTCTATTTCAGCCCTGTCTATTTCGCAAATGTTGTGTGTTAAATCAAAATTTAGCTGAGAATACACTCATCATCTCTAGATGATTCTTTGTAGTTAGCTATCCTCTTATTTGTCTTTTGGTTTTCTGTACATTAGGGCATACTTAACATTAACATAAGAGACTCTGCAAAAACAAAACAAAACATAAGAGAGGTGTTTGAGCCAATTGGTTAGGTAGCTGGATCATGTCATATTTACATAGGACCACTGTTCATCCATCCATAAATTTATTTACTCACAGCATAACAAAGGATACATATTAATTATCTCCAAGGTTCGAGCAGTAATCAATTATAACTATATTTATTGATAATGCATGCAAAGTTATTTACCATAACAAGTTCTTTTTGTGTATTAATGTTACTATATGTTTCCCATAGCATGAAAAAGCTTATAGAGCACCCCTATATGTCTGCAGCATGGTAATACCAAAAAGCACGCAATAACCGTTCTTTAAAGAAACTGAATGTACTACCTTTTTTTAATGGATGCAGCTTGTGGGCATTTTGCTTAGAGTAAATTGCACTTTGGATCAATGGTCGGTGGCTATTCTTTTTGGGTAGGGAGAGAGGATAAACAACTGCGTGTTCTCAATTGAGTGCTGAACTGTTGTGCTTGTGTGAGTTGGCTCTGCATACTTGTGGTTAATTCTTTTCATAGGAGTAAGAATCATGATCTGGATGAAATTTCAGATCATTTGAAAATAATCCCAGAGTAACAAGCTTAATTTCTCCTTATCACAAATTTCATTTCAAGTTCATCTGAAGGTCCGCACATGTACTTTCAGTATCTGTGTCACCAGTAGCGGAGCCAGGCTGAGGTCACGCCCAGGCCAGCCCTATAGGCACATGCGCTACAGTGCGCTACAGGAAATACTGTATCTACAGTCAACCCTGAGTTTCTTGGTCATGCCCCAGGCGGCGGCCTGGGCTGCCTAGGGCCTGACGCCTAGTCGCCTACCCTGTGTGTCATCATCTTGTAAGCCTGGTTCGTTGACAGTAATATTGGTTTCCATCTTGTAAAGCCTTGATAGCTAAGCTCTGGAAACTTCAGTATCCTAGTTTACACTGGGACAGACAACAAACTTTAATCCTGATTTCTCTAGGAGCTTGGCCTCTAGATTGTAGACTCACTTGCCTGTTCTGATAAATCATCTCTGATCTACCTTTTCCCTTTTTTACTTGCAGATTCTTTTCAAATATCCACCTGGAAAGAAAGAGGATATTAGAGAGGCTGATTTACCCTCATTCTGTTTTCCTGAAGGTGTAAAGGTTAGATAAATAATGTTCTTGCTGAATTTGTACTGCTCCTATTGGCTTCTTTAAGAAAGTTCTTTCCCTTCTCTCTTTGTTTTAATCCTTTTAGATATGCTGTGCTGCAATTTTCTTGATTCTTTTTAATCCAAAATTTCAGGCTCGCTTAGTCGAGAGGACTCCTTCCATGAGTGATCTGAATGAAGTGATATTTGGGCAGGTGAAAATTAGTTGTATTAGATTTGGGAAACCTCCTTATATTGGCAGTTTTTCGTCTTACCGCCCACCTGTGGTATTTAGGAATCCTGTTTAGGGTCAATGAATAATCTGCTAACCTTATTTTCGTTGAGAACATGACTCTCGTGTAAAGTGTAGACCAGTGTTTGTTTATACTTCTCAACTTTATCTTGATGGTTCCTTGCACACGAGGTTCCAACTTGAGCTTTCCAGTTAATGGAGGCTTTCTTTTGAATCAAACTTGCTAATTTGTATGCATCTTTTACATAGGAACATCTGTGCCGAGATGATTTGTCCTTTATCTTCTTCCTAAAGGTTTGTTTGTTTATTCATTTTAAATTTTGATATTCCTGGATGTTGTATTCAGGTATTCTCGATTGTTCTTTTCTTATTAATTGTTGTTGATGACACCAGGTATCGGACAATGCACCACTATATGGTGTTTGCCTTCATGTCCAGGAAATTGTTCAAAGAGCTCCTGGTATACTAGGAGCAGTCTCACCCCTAAATCAGACTTCCTACAAGCCAAGCCGTTTCTTGGTTTCTGCACCACGTTGTTACTGTTTACTTACAAGAGTACCTTTTTTTGAGCTACATTATGAGATGTTAAACAGGTTTGTCCAACGTATATACTTCTATTTGTCTGAGCTAATAACCATGCGTAACATTCCTAGTTTTCCATCTCCCGAGTTCAGTACTAAGATATGATCTGTGTGTTGGCTGTCAATTATATGAACAGCATAATTTCACAGGAGAGGCTTGAAAGGATAACACAGTTTGCCAGTGAATTTGCTCTGGCAGGGCCAGTCCCCCGTTCCTTGAGAGAACAGTTACAAGATCAATCAGATGGGGATTTTGAATCTCCAAATGGGCTTTCGTACAATGACTGGACAGAATATGCTGTACCTGTCGACACTATATCAGGTCTTGTTTCTTCACCAGGACTTGCATCAGAAAGAGACGTCCCTTCATATTTGTTCAGGAGTTGGGAACCTAATTCTCCTGAAAGTATATCTGCTAGTGAGACTTCAGAATCTAGTTATGCAAAAGAACCTGAGAAGGAAGGAAGACATAGTTTCCAACAATACGAAGATTGTATATCACAGAACACGGAATCCCGCTGCGATAGCTTTGGAAGAGCAAGTAGTACTTCTGAGAATGGACATACTTCTCCAGATCTTCTGTCCATGCATTCTCCTATCTCTACAAGATTAGAACGCACACAGAGTATGGAGTCTTTACACAGGTAACCCTGATAATTTGAAAAACAATTCCTGCAATTGTGGAGTGCAATTTATGGTGTTGATCACATCTGCTAGGATTTATCTGAAATGATAAGTAATCTGTTTTAGGATCTTATTAATGATGATGCATTGATCATTGTGAACTATGATACGTCCAGTATTATCACATCATTTACCTTATTAATTAAGCATCCTTATGGTTTGTGACAGTTCAGTCAAAGGTGCTGGGTCAGATGAAGAAGACGATGAAGTAAATGTGAAGAATGAAAGTGGTGTTGATGATGGCAAAGTTCTGGGATGGGCTAAGGTTTGTCTGTAATATCAAGTTTGAAGAATTCCATCTGATGGCTCTTGTCCATACTGATCATTCCTATTTTAGGCAAACAATAATGAACCTCTACAAATTGTTTGTGGTTACCATGCTCTTCCTCTGCCACCTCGCGGAGGAGAAATTGTCTTCCAACCCCTTGAACATCTCCAGCCTGTTAAATACTCCCGGCCTGGATTATTATCATTGGGGTTAGGAGACACAAATTTGAACAATGATATGAATTCGGCAGAAACAAATCTGGTAGATAATTGACTTTTTACGGCACTATCTATAGCACCTCGTCCCTTCACTAATCATCAATTTTATTTAGGTCATTGTGAATGCCCGCTTGGTCGCTGCAGAAGAAGCACTTGCATTATCAATATGGACTATGGCTACAGTTTGCCGTGCTTTATCTCTGGAAAGTGTATGTTGCATTACCCTTTTTTGGTTCAGTTAAGGAGTTCCATGAGTTTGCATTACTATTTATCATATATCAATGGAATTTGTTAAGAAGATTGCAGCGAGACTTACTTCTTTCCCCTTCTCTTTTCCTTTTTGAGGCCTGTAATAACCCCCTATACATTATATAAGTGATTAGTTGTCGTCATTTGTTGGCTTTGTGTATGTAAAGTTGTTTCTGTTCTCCTGCAGATGCTAGCATTATTCACTGGAGTTCTGTTGGAGAAGCAAATTGTGGTAATATGCCCAAATCTGGTATGGTCTTTCAAGTACCTTAGCTTTGTGACAATGTGTTCTGGTCTTATGCTATACTTGATCCTGCTGATTCTAGCAGCTCTCTCGAATGCTTAACTGCAGGGTGTACTGTCAGCAATTGTTTTGTCAATTATACCGATGATTAGGCCATTCCAGTGGCAAAGTTTACTGCTTCCTGTAAGTTATATTGTATCCTCTAGCTGTTGAAGTTTCTATCCTGTTTTGATTTTAGTAATACCATGTTAGTATATCAGCTTTTTTGGGGGTGGGACTGGGAGCATGGGTTTCATCTGCTTTGTTCTGCATTTTGCTCAGTTTTGTCCATTCTTCTGCTCATCTTTGTTGCATCTTATTATATGTCAATATGCCGTAAGGACCGTGTTAGCTAGAAACTGGTGAAACTACTGGCTGTCTGGTTGCCATTAATACTATTTTTTTTTCAAATGATCCACCACCCTTTTATTTAAGCTATCCAATCAAGTTGTAGATGGACATTTTTTGAAGAATATAAACTGGTAACTCTTTTTTGGCAAATAAACTGGTAACTTAAATAGACAATCGTGAACAAGGTCTGTGGTTTGTAAAGTTGATCAGCAGGTGTGCCTCCTTGTTACATTTCACTATGACGCAAAGTGTCACTGATATTTCGTCAAACGATGAATTGTTAATGGTTCAAAAGAGTTGGTTCACATGTTCACCAAATTCAGTAAAATATGCTGGATTGTTTTGTGTATTTGCGTATGTTACCCAACCATATTTATATGTTTTACCAGAACATATACATGTTGAGATTATGTTCAACTAAAAGAATGATAGATCTTTAGCTTATACATGTCTCCCAACAGTATTCTGTTCTAAGGTACAAACAATTGCTTTGCAGGTTCTACCAAGAAAATTGATTGATTTCATCGATGCCCCTGTCCCTTTCATTGTAAGTTTGACTATGCTTTGAAATTCATTTATTGGGTTGCTGCTATTTCAAAGAACTACCAGTAACTGCAATTGCCAATTTCTGCATGTTAGCAATCTTGAACCAATGTTATGGTAGGTAGTCACTATTAGCCAAACTTTCAGGGATTGTATGTTCTCTTCTACAGGCTGGTATCCAACATAAACCCCCTGATATCAAGATGAAAGCGTCTAGTCTTGTCAGAATCAATGTACAGAAAGATCAGGCAAGTGTGACATGTTCTTTCCTGATATTAGAACTGTTTTGGAAAAGGCTGTCTGAACCTTTCTTTCGTTGTAACAAACGGAATCTTTGTTTTTTCTCTCTCTATTGTATTGTTGATATGTTCACACATGAACCATCAGCCCTAGGAAAGTGTTTAAGAGAACATGGTCAATATTAGTAGGTAGGAATTGATTTTACCCCACAAGTGCCATATCACTTCAGAGTCCAGCATAAACAAGAACTACAAAGGCTTTCTTTTTCTGTTTGTTACTATATGAGCATGGTCCACTCTAGGGGTATAAACTATCCAGTCTAATTATTCCACGTCTGTGTAATGACAACAAGTATCTCCTGATCTGATCATGTCTGATTTACAGTATTTTACTTGTATGAAGTAGTATTCGTGAGTAGATACTATCACACACTATGCACACTACAATGCGAGCATATTTGGTGCTGTAATGGCAGAAAAGATTCATTCGTACTGAATGTTAGTTTTTATTTATTAAATCCAGGTCAAGGCAAATTTATTGCCTCAACTTCCACGTTACAAGGATCTTGTTTCTGATCTCAGTCCAATTCATGCTAGACTTTCATGTGAGAATGCTTTGGCCAAGAAACATCCTATGTATAAATGCAACGAAGTTCAGGTATTAATTTTTGTTTACTATGTGGAATGCGGCTCCATCCTCTTTGGAAGCCATTATTTCTTTATCGAGAAGAAAGTTTTACTTCCAGATCCTGTTCATGTACAGCAAATTTGCCTATACTCCATGTTTGTAGTTTTTAAGGTAAAGATGGTACTTGTTTGGCTGATATTGCAGGCTAAGGCATCTTGGCAGTTCTTAAATGTTCTGAGAACCTACTTGGAGTCACTTTGTTCTGAATTGCGCTATAATACCATCACAAATGTACAATCAGATAATGACAGGGTTAGAATCATACACTTCTGTTTGCACTTTACACCATGATGCCGCTTCAGTGCTTTACCTTTTTGAAACACCGTAAAAATGCGCTAAATGATGATGATCTTCTGTCTGGTCAGGTTTCCTTGCTTCTGAAGGACAGTTTTATTGATTCCTTCCCCTCGAAAGATCGACCGTTCATGAAGGTTTTTTGTCAATCGAGTTTTACCTAGTGATTTCCTTCTTATATTTATGTGTCACTGTTGTCCCCACATATTCTTATAGCAGTTGATATGTTTTCCAGCTCTTCGTGGAAACACAGATGTTCTCTGTTCTATCAGATTCTCGACTTGCCGCATTTGAAAACGAGCATTCACAGGGCTTTGCTTCAGCTGGAGATCAAAATACGAACTTCGATTGATTGGACAAAAGGAAAAAGAAAGCAGGGCACACCTACTGAGAATAGAGGTTTGGACTGTGGCCGAGTCCGTTGAATGGTAGGGCTTTCCTACTGTAAGAAGACAACCATCGGATGCTCCCAGTTAACCAAAGTAGAATATGATGCAACCCAATCTTTTAAATGGGATGTACATATAAGTTAGAGAGCATTCTACCTTTTCGTTCACAAAAATATGCGATGCATATGCCCTTAACGAGTATATACGGACCAAATAGAAATGTTGTAGTTGTTGTGTACTTGCATTAGAGTTGGGGTTTTGTTCCAAGCCAGCCCTTTTTGTGCCATCCAGGCGCATATATATAGTGAGAAGAACCGTGTAAATAAAATGAGCTTATATATTCCCATACCCCTGTCTTGCCTCTGTAAGCCTGGTTCTCAGCTCCCATCTAGTTGTGCGGACAATGGTTGGAATTCCTAGTGCACAGTAATAGATTCAAGTTTTGATACTGCAGGGGAAATTATTTAAGCACTCCCTGTACCAAAATGTAAGAAGTTTTCTGGTTTTGCATACACGTCTTACATTTTGTTACGAAGGGAGTAGATTTCACTGAGTTGTTACACGGTCCATGATTGTGAAAGCTTGGACATTGTGATCTGCCCTGGTGAATATGATGTATATCGACTTTGTAACGACAACATGCATCTTCATATCACAGCTAGAAGAGTCTGGAAACCAACGAGGCGAGATGACAATTGTAGCATTGGAACCGAAGGAGGATAAGCAGAGTTGGGCCTAACTGAAGAACGCTTGCTCTTATTGGACAGGAGAGCTGGGCGATGCAGCAACCTTAACCTTTTGGATCACACAAAATGTCATGCCCAGTGGAGTTGATAAGAACTGTGTTCGCCCACATGATTTTTCGTTTTCTACAACGCGGAGGTCGTTAGAGTATGACAGCGTGAGCGAAACAAGATTTCAATTTTTCAGACATAAAACTCTTTAAGACAGCTGTCCAAGTTTGATTTGGTTTGTTTAGCACATTACAAATGGCTCCTGTATATAGTTCATACGTCAGTTATTAATCTACAAGAGATCATTAGTGTGTTATTAGCCAAATAATAATAATAATCTAGAGGCCATTAGGCACGTCCCCTCCCTGCCGCTTACTTTAATAGCAATATATTATCTGGTAACAAGAAAAAAGGAGGAGAGCGTCCATCTCAGAATCTGCCCAAACGGACACTCACCCTCATGCACGGAAGCAAGCAAGAAACCAGCACGTTCAAAATGCCTCCGATCATCCTCGCATCGCATGCATGCATAAACATCAGCATTGCTGTCCTGTGAATGCCCGCTTATAATTATAAATAGTACCAAGCTGGCGCCGGACGGCCACACACCAACCTCGGCCGGTGCAACCATCGATCAGTACACACATACGTAGTGAAGCAACAGCAGTTGGATTGGAACTAATGGATCGTCGCGCTAGCTTCGCCACCCCGAGCTTCGCCGACCCGAGCATCCGCGTCAAGATCCCCGACCAGCTGCCCACGCTGTTCGAGCCTCAGAATGCCAATGCCACGCCGAACCCGCGCGCCACCCGCTCCCGCAGCCCCGCCGATGGCGACGCGCCACCGTCGCCGGAGCACCGCCTCACCGTGCTGGCCCTGCAGCTGGCCGTGCTTGAGAAGGCGGCGAGCCGGCTGGGCACGCTGGCCTTCGTCTGGGCCACGGTCGTGCTGCTGGGCGGCTTCGCCATCACCCTGAGCCCAACCGACTTCTGGTGCATCACGGGCCTGCTCCTCATCGAGGGCACCCGCATCCTGGGCCGCAGCCACGAGCTGGAGTGGCAGCACCACCAGGCCAGCCGGGCCCGCGCCGCCGTCCGCGCCTTCTTCTGGATGCAGCTGCTCTCGGCGTCGGCGTGCGTCTCCCTCTCCCTCGTCCGCCTCATCCACCAGCACTACGGCGGCACCGAGGACGCTCGCTCCAACCGTGCCGCAGCGCTCAACATCTTCTACGGCCTCGCGCTCGCCGAGGCGCTGCTGTTCCTTGTCGAGAGGGCGCTATGGGAGTGGAAGGTGGGCCACCGCCGCCTCCTCGAGTGCGTCGCCGACGACTGCAACCTCGCCGGCGCCTACGGCCAGGTCGTCGTACGCCGCTTCTTCTACGACTCCTACTCGCGCTGCCTCAACGGCAGCATCTTGGACGGCCTCCACATGGGCCTCGTCTCCTACGCCCAAGACCTCATCACCGCGGGCTCGCACGACGAGCAGAGCCTAGGCGCCGGCATCCTCGTCGCGCTCGCCGAGTCCGACCGCTTCGCCGAAGCCACGCTCCGCAGGATCGGCGTCTCCGCGCCCACCATCGAGCGCCTCATCGAGATGCTCAGCTGGAAGGACTCCTCGGAGCGCGATGTCCGGCGCTCGGCGGCCGTCCTCGTGTCCATGCTCACCGGGAGGAAGCTCGTCGCGCTCCGCGTCACCGGCATTCCAGGCGTCATCGAGTCCGTCGCGTCGCTGCTTTATGCCGACCTCGACGAGCTCAACATCCTCGGCCTCTCCATCCTCAATAAGCTGGCGCAAGACCACGACAACTGCGACAAGATTGGCAAGACCAGGGACCTCCTCGAAACGATCATCTCCTACTCCAGCATCGACCATGCGCTGGCGTCGCCCTCGCCGAGGGACATGAGGCTCAAGGCGGTCAAGAAGTCGCTCCGCGTTGTCAAGAGGCTGGCCGATACGACGGGGGACACCGGGAAGCTGCTCCGACGGGAGCTCACCGACATCGTCTTCACCGTGAGCAACGTCAGGGAGATCCTGCAGCGGCACGACAATAAGGTCCAGTCGGAGCTGCACCAGTTGGCCATCGAGATACTCACGAGCCTCGCGATGGACGAGGAGGCCAGGGAGATCATCGGCGGGACGGGGGACGTGGTGAGCGTGCTGGTCACGACCTTCTTGCCGGCGGCGTTTACGACGAAGGAGTGTCAACAGGCGGACGCTGTCCGGGTGGAGGCCGGCGAGGCGCTCGCGATGCGACGTGGATTTTTAGAGCATATGCACCCAGGCCCTTCTATCCTAACTCTTCAATATTGCTTTAAGATCCGTGCGACACAACTAAGTTTCTATATGAAATTTTCTCTTTTTTGCTTTTCCCACATAGAACATATCTTAAAGTTCAAACCTATGCAGGATGGCAAATCTTTCTAACTAGAATCTAGGATAAATCTTTCAGAATTTTTTGTCTGACATAAATATTAAAAATATGATTTTTTAATCAAAAAAACGTATTTTGTATATTTATGTTTGACAAAAAAATCTGTACGATTTATCCTAGATTCTACTCAGAAAGCTTTGTCACGCCGCATAGGTTTGAACTTCAAGATATGTTCTATGTGGGAGAAACAAAAAAGAGAAATGTACTTGCACGGATCTTAAAGGAAAAAGTGGATGGCTAGATAGAGAGGGCCTGGGTGCATATGCTCTAAAATATATTTTCGCTCGCGATGCTGGCCCTCGAGAACAAGAAGAACTGCGGAGCGATCATATTGGCTCTTGGCGGAAGGATCGGGCGGCTCGTTGATGCGCTGAACGACCCCGTCGTCGTCGTCGGTGCCGCGAGGATCATGCACAACCTCTGCTCCTACTCCGGCGACGAGTGGCAGCTCCTTCTGAGAGGGGTCACAGTCGGCGCCGCCAAGGTGCTGAGGTCCATCACGGTGGAGAAGGACAAGATCCTCAACATCTTCATCGGGCTCGCGGCGCAGATGCTCCGGTTCATGGAGCCCGGGGAGCTCCGGGGGAGCCTCGTCGCAGCGCGCGTGGTGGACACGGTGCTGGCGAGGTCGCTGGTGCAGGTGCTGCGGGACTACAGCCGCCCGTCCATGGACGTGCCTCGGGCCCGACGGTACACCATAGAGCTTGCCATGGCATTGATGCAGTCGGACGCACGCTACGTGGCCCTGTTCGTGGAGCTCGGCATGGAGAACGAGCTGAGGAGCGTGGCCATGACCACCTCGCAGCTGGAGTGCTTCAACGTCTTCTCCGGCAGCGTCGGGCTCAGCCGCCGCGACACCAGCGTCTGTTCCGTTGTCAAGTCAGCGTTGGAGCTGATGAACAAGGGCTGGAATTAAGCCCTCAAACTACCACATATTTACTGTATACTGCAGATTGCTATCTGTTGTACTGTTCTTCTTTCTATACATTATGATTTGTTACTCATCGTGTATCATCTCACGCTACTCATACTAGAGTAGTGCATTCTGTAAAAATATAATGTGTGGCATGTTAACTGTACAATCAATGTAATATCAATTTATTTATAATAGACCGCCATAAAAAAGTTAATTGGATTAACACAACTAATCATCTGTGAGGTCTCAATCTCAAATTGCATTCACCATGGCGGAATTCGCTTACAAGGAAGGGGATCGGAGGAGAGGAGGAAGAACCACTCTCTCACATCATCTACTCTCGCATTACAAACTAGCCGTTTGCCAGCCGCCTACCTTTCCTACCAGCCGTCTACAGTATAAGTACAACCAATTAGGCCCATTTCGGCCCAGCCAGCTGAGCGGGTAAGCGAGGCTGCCTCTTGGACCACGCGCTGGTTTGAACTGCGTCTTGGCGCCCATCTTGATCGCTGACAATCCCTCCTCCCTTAGAAACAACTTGCCCCCAAGCCGGTGCTCTCGGGAATTTTTGTTGCAACGTCACCTTGTCTTCCCAAGTAGCCATGTCCACATGTGCATCACTCCACTTGACCAGTACTTGGACTATGGAGTCAGATCCACGCCGTAAGACCCGTTGTTGCAGGATTTGCTCGGGACATTGGAACTGATCATCAGGTGAAGGGAGTTGCGACAGTACCTCGCAGTCAGGAGTAAGGACTTTCTTGAGCAAGGAGACATGAAACACTGGGTGGACCTTGATAGTTGGTGGTAGATCCAGTTTGTACGCCACCTCACCCACGCGCTCCAGTATATCAAATGGCCCATAGAACTTAAAGGCTAGCTTATGGTTAGCATGCGGCACCACTGAAGCTTGAAGGTACGGCTGAAGCTTGAGAAACACACGATCACCAACTGCAAACTCATGATCAGTGCGATGTTTATCAGCTTGGCTCTTCATACGTTGCTGTGAGCGAAGCAAATGCTGTTTGACTGAATCCAGTACCACCTGTCGGTCAGCAAGCCACTGCTGCAAGTCCGGAGACTGGATTGTATCCTCCACAGAAATACCAAAATGGCGTGGTGCCCATAGATGATCTGAAATGGTGTTTTTCCCGTTGCTGAATGCCAGTTTGTATTGTACCAGAACTCACACAAAGGAATCCATTTGGCCCAACGCGACGAGTGGCCACTGACGAAACAACGCAGAAAGCATTCCACCTGTTGATTGACGCGCTCAGTTTGCCCGTCAGATTGTGGGTGACGAGGTGAGCTCATGCATAATAGAACACCAGATTTCTGGAATAGCTCGTTCCAAAATGTGCTTGTAAAGATTTTGTCACGGTCAGACACAATTGACGGGGGCATACCTTGGAATTTGTAGACAGAATTCAGGAAGGCTTCAGCAACTGTCTCGACTGTATAAGGGTGATGCAGAGGACCAAAATGCCCATATTTGAAGAGCTTGTCAATGATCACCATTAAGAAATTATAACGCTCAAACGTAGGGAGACCTTCAACAAAGTCCATTGTGACCATTTCTCAAGGCTGATTTGGTATTGGCAGTGGTTGGAGCAAACCTGGATACATAATACACTTGGTTTTTGCTTGTTGACAGGTCAAACACTGTTGGACATAAGTTTTGATAAACCCTCGCATCTCTTTCCATTTGAATAGTTGCTTCACATGTTTGTAAGTCACAGGGAAACCTGAATGCCCTCCCAATGGGTTGTCATGGAAAGCAGAGACCACCTTATTGTGCAGAACATGATCATAGCCAATCCAGACACTTTTTGCATGTCAAAGAATACTAGCCTTCAGGAAGAAAGTGCTATAAGATGTAGGAGCTACTGACAGTTTTTTCAGCAATTCAGAAGCAAAAGGATCACATGAGTAACTCTGAATGATATACTCAAGCCAGTCAGGCTCTACAGATGATATGTGTTGCAGCTCAGGTAGTATATCATGAGCATTAGGAGGTCTCCTGGACAAGGAATCTACAAAATTGTTGTCAACACCTTTTTTATATTCAATAGTATACTGCAATCCCAACAACTTAGTGCTTTCTGTTGCCACTCTGTATGCAATCTTTTTTCAGATAGACAAGCCAAACTACGCTGGTCAGTTTTAATTATAAAAGGAGCAAGCTGTAAATACTGCCTCTAGTGTTCAACTGCTAATAAAATAGCTAGATATTCCTTCTCATAGACTGACAGAGTTTGATTTCTGGGTCCAAGGGCCTTACTGACATAAGCAACTGGATGACCTTCCTGCATAAGGACATCTCCTATACCCACATCACAGGTATCAGTTTCAATTATGAAAACCTTGGAAAATTTTGGTAGAGCTAAAACAGGAGCTGAAACCAAGGCCTTTTTCAACAAATCAAAAGCTTGCTATTCATTGGATAACTAGTGGAATGGCACCCCTTTCTTCAAGAGATTTGCGAGTGGTTTGCTCAGCATCCCATACCGAGAATTTTCTGTAACAACCAGCAAGCCCTAGGAATCCTCTGATTTCCTTTGCAAACACTAGAACTGGCCATTCCTGGATTGCAGCAATTTTTGCTGAATCTGTAGATACCCATTGTGCACTAATGATATGGCCAAGGTATCCAATATGAGTTTGTGCAAATGAGCATTTAGAATGTTTCACCTACCATTGATGTTGGAGTAATAGCTTCAACACCTCTACTACATGTTGTAAGTGTAGTTCATAGGAAGCAATGAATATCAGAATGTAATCAAAGAAAACCACTGCAAATTTCCTGAGACAGGGAGACAGAGTATTAGTCATAGCAAAGTTGAAGGTATTAGGGCCTCAAGTTAATCCAAATGAGAGCACCAGGAACTCAAAGTGGCCAAGTGAGTCTGAAAAGCAGTCTTATGCTCCTCTCTAGGAGCTAGTCTGATCTGGTGGTAGCCAGATCTAATGTCCAGCTTAGAAAACTAGGAGGAACCTGCCAACTCATCCAATAATTCATCAATGACAGGGATGGGATATTTGCTCTTAACAGTAATATCATTCAGCTTCCTGTAATAAAAAACTGGTCTCAAGGTTTTGTCCTTCTTTTGTACCATGATCATAGGTGAAGAAAAATCACTATTACTGTGTATTATAATTCAAGCTGCAAGCATTTCTTGAACTTGCTTTTCCATTTAATCCTTTAGGGCAAGGGCCACTCTATAAGGTCTGAGAGAAATTGGTTGAGCTCCAGGAACTAGTGGGATAGTATGATCATATTTCCTTATTGGAGGGAGGCCAGTTGGAGTTGCAAAAACAAGTGCAAACTGATCCAATAACTGCTTGATTTATGTGGGTAGTTCAGTAGTTCCTGTGTTATCAGTTGTTACAAGGCTGAGACCTCAACCAGATCAAACAGTTGAGGAACTGCATCTTGACAGAGTAATGTAACCAGAGTACCCTGCATTTGAAAGGAGAGCTAGTGTGCTGCCCAATCTACTTGCATGGGACTGTGATTAGCCAACCAATCTAAACCTAGGATTCCATCGTAAAAACCCAAGGGAAAAACCTTGAAATCATTGACAAACTCATGACCATTACATGTCTAGTGTCCTTTTTGTAACTATTGAGTGCAAGGGACCAGGCTACCATTAGCTACTTTAACCATGCTGACATGTATGGAAGAGACCCCCTTAAGTGTTGCAGCCACTGTACCATCCACAGATGAGTGAGTACTGCCAAAATCGGCAAGAAAAACCAATAATTGGCCATGTAGTTGCACCTTCAGTTTCATAGTAGTTGTTGTAGGAGCTGAAATATCACCCATGGCCGCTGCAGAAATGCAGATAGCATTAACTTCGTCAGTATCAGTTTCTTATGTATCACTGAATATCACCCATGGCCGCTGCAGAAATATAGATAGCATTAACTTCGTCAGTAGCAGTTTCTTCTGTATCACTGAATTCAGCAGGCATGCTTTGTACATAATCCAACATCTCTTGAACCACATGTAACTTCACTTCTGTTTGCAACAATGTTCACGTGCCCAACGTTCACCACATATGGAACAGTCCTTTTGACTTCCTATAAGCTCACAGAGCAACCCATCTGTCATCTGAATGAGGTGGTTCTGAAACTTTTCTTTCCTCCGCAGGTTTACTGGCAGACTATTTAGACACGAATGACATCGGCACTCATCTGCTCCCTGATGAGTTATGTAGTTGCAGCAATGCATTGTCACCCAATTCCTATGACATAAAAGCTAAGGCATAAGCCTAATCAAGGTCATCTGGTTGTTGAATACTAACTAACAGACAAACTGATGGTGTCAATCCTTCCATGAACCTAGTCACATAATGAACCGTGTTTGGCTATGTTTCATATGCTGTGAGCTGGTCATAAAGTTCAAAGAAACGCTCCACATAATCTTCCACTGAAACGGACCGACAGATATTGAACATTTGGTTTAAGATATTTTGATGCTTATTCCTGCCGAATCTGGACTGTAACAATGCACAGAATTCGGCCCAGTTAACTTGCAGGGCCCACACTGAACCGATTCTAGCCAACATGCCACAGTTCCCTCAAACTGAGCCGACACAAATGTGATCCACTAGTGTTGTGGCGTGTTCCAGAGCCTGAAGTAATCCTCACAGCGGGTTTGCCAGAGTTTGGGATTGGATCCGTCAAACCGAGGCAGTTCAACTCAGGGACCATACCCCAGAATATCAGGTTGTTGGGGACAAAAAAATTCTGGGGCCTAGATGATCTTCCGCGAGGAATTCTAACCTGAAGGCATACCTCGAGCTAGTGGTGGCATGTATATCTGCGCTGTTGCACGGAGATCGCTCTCGTTGCGGAACCCATCAGATCCTCCTGATCCGCTATTCAGGGACGTGCTCTTGGTGGATGCAGGCGGGCTGTGTGGGGACGACGGTGTGGTTGGGCAGGGCGCGTTGACACGATCCTCCCCAATCTCGTCGCGGAGTTCATCGAGGTCGACCCCGATGGCCAGCTTGACATCGTCAATCCGGCCAGAGAGCTGGTCCAGCTTGCCGTCAAGCTTGGCGAGGGCTGA